CATACTCTTTCGGAGTATCAGGGTTTCGGACGAGAACTCATCTGTTACACGGCCACTTCAATGTTTTTTAAACTTATTTGAACTCCGGACTTCTTTTGTGTTCAGTATGCAGCATTCAAAGCGACGTCATCAATTTCCAACATGTTCTGACATCATTTATTGTTTTTCGGTCATTTACCTAATTGTTTTAGAGAGCTAAATGACCGTGAAATTGAAAATCACTACAAAATGAATCCTGAAAATGTTGAAACTTGGCATGGTATCATCATATCACCCGCATAGTATGCGCGAAAGAGTAGAGAGGGTCACGGCAAAAACTGGACGCACTTCATGTACAAACTGGACAAACTCTTTCAGAGTATCAGGGTTTCGGACGAGAACTCATCTGTTATTCCGGTTGGTGGCTCCAACCGGTACTAAAGAGTGACCAGTACTACAGTTTCTTAAGCTGTTTTTTAGTCCCACCTCGCCAAGAGAGAGGGACTAGGAGCGGTTTATAAGCCCTGAGTGCAGAGACGATGAAGAAGAGGCTCAATGCTCATGTTGCTTAGCTTCAAGCCTTCAGGAATATGGTAGATTGCACGGAGCTACGCGCAGTGCAGTTTACACTATTCCGAAAGGCTTGAAGCAAATTAACGAAGCATTGCACCTCTTTTTTATTTTTAATAACTTATTACAACTCCGGACTTATTACACTACACGTCGGCATTTCTTTTTTTTAAACTTTGGTTATAACTCCAAACTTTGACCATCAAGTTTTGCAGAAAAGAAAAAATTGCAGAAAAGAAAAAAATTATATAAAAAAACTACTCAGAAATAAATAGCAGAAAATAAATATAGCAGAAAAGAAAAAACTACTCAGAAATAAATAGAAGAAAAAATAAAGCAGAAAAGAAACTTCTTATATTTGCTATTTTTCAATCGTTCACAAAATTACCGTGAAATTGAAAATCACTACAAAATGAACTCTGAAAATGTTGAATTTTGGCAAACTAGATGAAAAACTACTCACAAATAAATATAACAGAAAAGAAAAAACTATACAAAAAACTACGAAGAAAAAAATAGAAGAAACAGAAAAGAAAAAAATATAAAAAAAATTGGGGCGCTGCCCTATGGGCCTGCTACGCCACAGGCGTGCAATTATAGGCCCTAAAGGCCCAGCAAACTCACAGGGCAGCGCGCAGAAATTAGGCCCACAAGCCTGCTATATAGAGGAGTTCAAAGAGGCAGCCGCGGCTGGGCTTATAAAGCAGTGCGGCTGCCCTTCGCCCGGCGAGGTGGGACTAAACTTTGCGAACTACGGGGTGGCAGCGCAAGGCCTTTAGTACCGGTTGGTGGCTCCAACCGGTACTAAAGGCCTGCTCTTCCCGCCTCTTGGCCTGGCCAAAGTTGGCCTTTAGTACCGATTGGTGGCTCCAACCGGTACTAAAGGCCTCTCCTATATATATAGCACTTACGAAAATTTCAGTTACATTTCCCCACTTCTTCGCGTCTCCAACCTCTCGCGCGCCGCTCCCGTCGTCGCCGCCCGTCGCCCGTCGTCGTCGTCGTCGTCCCCGCCGCCGCCCCGAACGCCGCGCGCCGCCGTCCCGTATACGTACGTATCTCGCTCTCCTCGCGTACCCGTCGCGCCGCGCGCCGTCCGTCGTCTCGTCGCGCGCACCCGGCCGGCCGGCCCGTACGCCGCCGCCCCCGCTCGTACGTACGGGGCGGCGGCGTACGGGGCCGCACACACACACATACCACACACGCATACGCACACATACGTACACACATAATATACGTATATATACACACACATACACACACGCATACACACACACACATTTTTTTTACTTATTTTCTGTTTTTTAGAAAAGTTAATTAGATGATCGAATGTTAGATTAATGTCGAATGTTAGATGAATTAGCTAGCTAGATAGAAAAATTGTCGAACTAAAGATTAGAACTATAGTTGAATAATTAATATAACTAGTTTATTTTTAGTTAGAAAATTGTCGAACTAGTTTATTTAAGTATATGAGATTTGAACTAGTTCAATAATTAATACAACTAGTTTATTTTTAGTAAGAAAATTTAGGTATCTGAGATTTGATGATCTAATTAAAATATTATTTATTAATGAGTTTTTCTGTTTATTTAATTTTTTATATATTTTGAGTTTATATAAATGTTAGATTAATATTGAATGTTAGATGAATTAGATAGAGAAGTTAAATATATAATAATGTCAATTGTTAGAGATGAATATAGTTAGATATATTAATGTCAAATGTTAGATGAATATATATTTGGCTAGATATAGGTGTTTAATGTTTTACCTATATGAACATAGGAAATGTCATCTGACGACGAAAAAGATTTCATTATGTGCGAACACTGTGAAGACCAGCGCGGCCTGTGCGACAAAAATTTCCTTGTTGATGGTAGGCGCTTCAGCATCAAGCTGGATGAGACATTCGAAGTTGATACAGTAAGTCACTTTGTCAATTATTATTTCAATGCAAAACTTATGCTTCATTTGCTTCAACTTATAATTTTAAAATTTCACTATTCTACTAGCGCATCCCCTGCCATGCAAGAATTTTTGTCTTGAATAAGATAGGTTTTAGTGCTATAGATGATATGGAGGTAAAGAGATTTTACTTGAAGACGGAGCATGGGTATACTTTCAACGTCAAATTATATAATGGAGACACATACACCCATTTTGAATGCAAAACTTGGCAAGCACTATGCAAGGCTTATGCATTTGAGCCTGATATGGTTATCACCTTTGATATTCGTCCGGAAGATGATATTGAAGGTAATATAAACATCTGGGTCGATGTGCAAACGCCTCCAGTTCTACCATTTGGTGAGTTTTTCTCAACCATGCATGCATATGTTTATGTCTTTGATACAGTTTATTTAAAAATAGTTGACAACTAATTTGTATTGTCAGTTTATTTCGGTTCAAGTAAACATGTCCGGCGCTTGGTAGACAGGACCTACTACTGCCCCGGGGCTCAATTAAACTGCAAGGAGATAAGTCATTATGTTTCATGGCTTGAGGATCTTAATACTGTCAAGACAAATTTTTTTCCTGAACTTAGAAATGTTAGTACTCAAAACATGCGACCAATGGTGATCGTATTGAACTACGGTCACATCTATAATCGAAAGATGGTAAGACTTTAAATATTTGTCCTTAATTAGTGCATCTTTTGCGTATAATATTTTTGAAGCTAAACTTTCATTACTTAGTATATTAATTACTATACGATGTTCTTCAACAGGGACTTCCGATGACAGTTGTGCCTCAGTGGATCGAGACAAAAGGTCGCATGTCAATGGTTAGCTTACGACCAAGATTTCCTACATTGCACATGAGTGCATTCAGGATTTCTGAAAGCGAAGAATGCTTAATAGTGAAAGATTGGAGCAAAATTGTTAACGATCGCAGAGAAGTACTAGGGGGCAGCAAGGAAAAGCGCAACCCAAGATTAGGAGACAGATTCATCTGCATGCTCCAGTATGATGAATCAGGAGAGCTATACATGTTCTATGCTATTCTACCTGAGAGGGAGCAGCAGGATCAGTAGCTACTACTTCATGCTCTTAATTAGTACTTGTCTCATGTCCGTGTCCTTAACTTCGATGTTGGTGATGATTATGTTGAACTTGATGATATCTTTGCTTCTGTTACAAAGTGAATGTTTCCTCTTTAAGCTAGCCAGCGTTGATGATGATTAGATAGCTAGCGGGAATGACTATGATGATTAAATAGTGGTAATTAGACGACTATGATGATTTTTAGCTAGCTAGAGTTTATTTATTTATTAATATGCGATGATGATGATGATGATGACGACTACAACTCATTATAACGTAAAACAATCCTAAATTAAATTGATAACACAAATTTAATTAAAAAATATAAAATAAAACAAAAACCCACAACCATTTAGTACCGGTTGGTGTTACCAACCGGTACTAAAGGGCTCCCGGCCCCCGGAGCTGGCTCGTGCCACGTGGTTTCCCTTTAGCACCGGTTCATGCTGAACCGGTACTAAAGGGGGGGGGGCCTTTAGTGCCCACACTTTAGTGCCGGTTTAAGAACCGGCACTAAAGGGCCTTACGAACCGGTGCTATTGCCCGGTTCTGCACTAGTGATGGTACATAAATGGCATCTTCACAAGCCTCTACCAAAGGGCTACCATGTTTGGAAACAAAGAAGAAATAGGGGAGCCTTATGCATCTGGTCACAAAAATGTAAAACTCCCATGGAGACAGCATAACTGATATAGCGAGCAGCATCATGTGCTAGATGAAAAACAAATAGTATGAGAACAAAAGTGATAACTGGAATAAATGTGGAGATGCGTAAATGTCAGTACACCTAGCATGGATCCAGTACGTCCTTCTTGAAGCTCTCAACCTAGATATCATTACTTGGTTATGCGGTAGTACTGAAATAAATTTCAGCAAAGAGTCGGTCAAATTTTATCGCATGAAAACCTACATACAGAAAAAACGTAACTTGAATCCTCTTTGACAACATAATATCCGTTCAACTTGAAACAACCAAACTTTCTACAATATTTGTTAAAAAAAATTGAGTACTAACAGTCTAGCCTGATTGGCACACTTCTTCTGTTCTTTCACCAGACACGGAGCCATCACAGGTTTGACCTATCACTAACACGGCAGTGAAACCTTGTCTGACAACCAAATACAATGTCCTAAATTTAAACTCGGCCAGACATATTAAGAACTTTTTATCTCTAGGAATTATATACTGAGAGGAGACGTTCTAAACAAATAGACATTACAGGAATCTGTAGCAAACATTGCTTTCTGGTAAATAATTTGGCATACCTTGGAACAGTAATAAGCAACATTTGTATTTATGACGAATGGGAAAATCAAATGGAACAGATCTTTGTGTTCGCGAGGCCAGCTTATAAGTTCAATCAGGTTCACTCCAAATATTAGATAGTGAGTGTACTCTAGTAATACCACATGTATTCATGAATTAGAGCAAAAAATTCATACCCAATTTATAATCTTCATGTAGTATTACTGCTACTCATGATTGAAAAGGGACCACATGATTTAGAGATAGATAATCTACATAATGTGAAAAATAATTTTGGATGCTGACATATACTGTAACAAAATTCAAGATACTCATATACTCTATTATATTGTACATGATAATTTGCTAACTCCAGCAAAAATAACAATTCTTTTGCTTTCAGGCACATAATTAGCTAAGTACAAGAGGGGTGAAATCTAGGAAAAGAGAAAATGGTAAGTACAAAATGTTTCCAGCCGAGGGACTTCAGAATCATGTACTTACGCTGGAACCAAAAGTTGATGCTCCATTCCTATCTTAGCATCCATCTAAAACTCAATAGGTGGTACATATTGGAGTCATTTGATTTATAACATGGAAGAAGTTGTTAAATTAGGTATTGCGATTACACAAAGTAATCGGTTACCTTGAGATTTAGAATAATAATATTAAACAACTGACTGCATTCAGATTAGAACATTACAATATTTACAGTAACAGATTTATGATCTGTCAGATAGACGACCCTCCTACTCTAAAAGTAGTTAAGTCAAAATATAGTCAAGGGATTGCCTATTAGTTCATCCACATGTAAACAAAGTGAATTCATTAAGAATCTAGCAAAAATACATTGTAACCTCTTTTGCCATGATTCCTGAAGCAACACATATGCATGGTGGGAGATGAGGTCTACCAACACATTGATATTGATGAATAAACAACAATGGAACTTGAACTTATTTCATGCCTAATTCGAAGGAACAAAGACATATAAGAATTCTACCCAAAATATATTTGAAAAATCTTTTCTTGATGTCTAATTAATCATAAAATATTATCCCATGAAAGAAACAGGAAGGAATCAAAACTTCAATAGTATAAACAATGGAATCACCATAGAAGTGATATCAATAGGAATTTGATTGGGGTTGAAGGGATTTCAAATGGGATACACGTACATTGTAAAATGCTTGGCTGACACAAAAATCCTTGCTTATAACTGATTAGTGTAATAATCTTGCAACAGCAAACCAATACTGACAGACAGTAACATTATCTTCCACTTGGAGCAAAGATTCAACTCTGCTTCATAAAATAAAACTCAGAGCGGGCAACTTCTTGTATGCAGCACTGAAACGTGATCACTAAGATACTCTTCCTGGTTTTTCAAATTGGTTGTTTCAACACAACAAAACTAAAAAGAACATAACTAAATACAAGTGCATAACAAAACTATGAGGATGATGGCATGATGTTACTAAAACTGAAAAGAGTAAGCCATCATTATATTTTGCAACAACCAATTAACTATATTAATTAAATGATACGATTGCAAAAGGAAAAGTGTTAGGAAGATCTACCAATACCTGAACAGTAGTTTCCTCCACAAAAATTCCTTTACCTCATAGCAGAACGCTTTGACCTGCAATTGGCTCTACCAGTACAAGAGAAAATTCACAGATTGAATGAAATATTGTTCGGGGGTGAGTGGAAGACAGAGAGAAACAAAGTTTGCAAAGTTGTATGAAGGTGTTACCTTGGAGGAGGGAATTTGACATCAACGTGTAGAGGAGAGGGTGTCATGACGTGTATATAATCACCCAAACCAAATCCCTGCTGCTCGTTGTAGCACGTTTGTGCTGGTTGTGCACCTGCGAGAGGTGCCAGATCCACAAGGCTAGTGTCAGAAACATAGGGTCGGGCTGGATGGCAGCGGCGCCGACGTTCCACCTTGAAGGACGGATCTGAGCATTCCAGGTAGACGGAGAACATGCCGTCGAGGAGGCGAAGCGACAGAGATGGCCGGTGCCGCCATCTGGCAAGCTGGGGGTTGCCGATAGAAAACGAGAACGAGGGAGACGCACCACTGCTCGAGGTCGTGGTGGGAGGCGGTGCCGGGAAGGCGACGTCGCGTCCAGCCGCCCGGAACGCCATGGCCCTCGCTCCGGGACCGTTCGCGGCCTAGGTCGACCAGCCATGGGAACAGCCGCCAGCCGCCAGGCGAAGGGTGTGAGAGGCGTTTGGTCTTGGGAACAAAACGGTGGCTTCACGAAGGGGATGGTGCTGCAGGCCCATTAGGCCCAATTTAATCCGAGACGCCGAAAAAAGCGACCAGAGCAGCGGCCCATGACAATTAGCAATCCCTAATAGCGAACGAGGCCAGATGAGGAGCGATTTACAGTAAATCTGACGACTGAAAATGCTCAAGATTGATGATCCGACGGCTACGGGTGCTGATGTCCTGAGACGGCAGAAAAATTGCTCAGTTTTAATGTTTCTAAATAAATGTACCAGTGGCGGATGTACAGGGTGGCCCACCCTGAGATTTTGAATGTGCTTTATATACCTATATCTATACTTGGGCCAGAGAGAAAAAGAAAACAGCCCAGTAACTTCCAGGGACGAACGCATCACGGCCTGTCCAAGCAGAACCCTCGTCTCTCCCGGTCGCCCCCCTCGCACAGCGACTCCTCTGCGGCTCTGCCCGACCCCAACACCCAGCCCGCCAGCCGTCGCGGCTTCGCCGGTCGCCGGCTGGAGCCCGGAGTTCAACCGTCCAGGAGGCTCCCGCCTCCCCTCTTCCCGGCTTCCCGCCTGGCCGCCCGGTCCAGCCGTGCCCCTGCGGACTGCGGTCCTGGCGTCCCGCCTCCCCTTTTTGGCGCCCCGTCGGCCCGGCCGCCCCCCTTCAAAGCCCCACCATGTCGGCAAACTCCTGACCGATTTAAGGTACCCAAATGCCTCAATTTCAGACTTAGGGTTTGCTTTTTTTGCACCAATTCATGTACATGAACTGATGAATACATACATAATTTTGCACAAGTACTTTGGTTAAATCGGTCTATATTCGGATATGATATGAAATTATAGCTTGCTTGAATGAAGCCACAAAGGCTTGAATTTTTCCTCAATTACTTTCATTTTGCACATAATCCCTCAATTTACTTGTGTATTGTGTATTGATAGAAAGTAATTTTTGTTACAGAATTATTGAAGAATGAAGAGGGCCGGAGACATTGTTTCTCTTTTCCAGAGAGAAGCTATTAAGATAGGGAAGAAGAAGAAGGCAGGGAATATGTCGGATGTGGCCAAAGAGCAAACTCATGAACCAACAAGGTCTATGTCGAATGTGACTGTAGAGCAAACGGAAGAGCATTTTCTGCCATGAGTTTGGTCAAGAGCAAGTTGAGAAAATAAGATGGGTGATAGTCTTTTGGATGATTGGCTAGTGACATACTTTGAGAGGGGCGCTTTCTCCCAGGTGAATGAAGATGATATAATTGATAGCTTCATGGCAATGCAAAAGCGTAGGCCAGAAACAGTCTTTTTGAACTTGTCAAGGTATGTACTATGGTCTAGGTAGTATTCACTATGTAGGCTTCTTTATGCAAAATTAAGATTTAGTTGAGAATTTTAGTGTGTTCATAAGACCATATTGCTTTATGATATTGATAATTAGTTAGAACACGCACATATCATATTGCTTATCAAAAAAAATTGAGGCGGACCACCCTGGTGTCAAATGCTAGCTCCGCCACTGATATGTACTATATGTGTACACGCCGCAATTTTCCAAACCATACACGTATACGTTCACTGACAGTTATTTCATATATGTAGGCTGGCATCGGTGTTAATAAATTACACGGAGAAAAGAAAAGGACAACAAGAGAAATTTCGGTTTGTTTGCTTTATTGGGAAAACAATAAAAAAATGTCTTTTGTAACAAAGGTAAAACAAAATAGCAAAAAAGAGTGTTTGTTTAGTTTATCGCCTTCTGCAGCAAAGAAAAAAAATCACAAAAAAACTTCGCTTGTTGGTTTTGTTCTCTTTTGTAACAAAGTAGAAATGAAAATTTAAAAAAAAAGTTTAGTTGCTTTGTGGAATCGAGTAGCGTTTACTCGCAGAAAAAAAACTCCAAAAAAAGGGTCTTCACCTTTTCGTACCGTTTATGTTGTGTGTGTATTTGAGTTTGTTTCTTGGGTTTGGGGGTCAGGTGTCTGTATATATGTGTTTTTCAGTTGGAAGGGGGTGGGGGTGGTGTAACTCTGCCTATGCTAATATGATGTTACACTTCATGTTGCATAGCCGGTCCCAAGCCCGGAAAGAGGAGGAGGGACCAAACATCTACTCATTAACCAAATGTGGTGACCATTTTATGTTCTTACGGTTGATTGTATCCTTTATTTGTAGTGTTTGTACTTTATTTGTCTTAAGTACCTTGTTCGAGTATATAACATCTTAGTTCAGCATACCTAGTGGTTCAGGGTTGACTATTTCTGAACAGTCAAGGGCTTATTTGTAAACAAATCGTTCCCCAAGGAATAATGCCAAGAAGACAAGCACCTGGTTTCCTTTCTAGGCTCTCTCTGCCACACAAATCCTTGGCTCCTTTTTGATGTCTCGGAGAGAACATCTCAGCCAAGTATTTTTTTTTTTGTATGTGCAGTAGTCTCAGCAGAAAAAGACTTCTAACGTCATCTGGAAAATTAACTTCATGATCATTTCTTAGTCTCGCTCTGAAAGGCTTTTACGAGGTTAGTTTCACGAGTAATTACTCGTTTCTTGACAGAACCAGAGTATGCAGCTTCAGATAATGAATACATGGTTACTCTTTGGAAATAAATGAAGCACTACTTCTATGGAAGTGGAGTGGAGTATATATATTTCTTCCTTCTCTGGCCCAATGGTTTCTTTGAGTTTCATTTCCATTTAATGTTATTTTTTCTGATGCTGAGCTCTTCCATGTCCAGACACATACGAAATCTTCGTAAATAACAGCCTGTCCACAAAGCTATATGGAGACGCTGTTGCGCTGCTGGGTTAGCTCTTCCATGCCCGGACGCGTATGGAATTCTCAAAAGCTAGCCGTTGGGAGATGATCTAGTGGAAGTTTGGAACAGAGGACTGGCCAAGGTAGAAGATGTTGATGGGTTGTAAGCATAGATAGCCCTGCAGCAGAGTTGTAGTAACCAATGCAAACAATGTTCGACAAAGCGATTAAAAAGTCCCCCTTTTATTTTTGATAACATTTAAAAGCAGATGCATCTACAATGATGAACATTGTTGTATAACTTACCATGAGATCTCCTGAAATTAATCCTCACCCCTCCATGGGCGCGCGCCAATGACCCGATCTCGATCGCCACAAAGCACCAGCCACTGCTCCTTCTCACGCCGGACAAGGGAACCCGGCCAGAAAACCAGGAGGCTCGCCGCATGGAGATAAAAAACGAACACATACGGGAATCATGTGTCGTACGGCAGCCGCCTGTTGCACGACATTCGCTCCTCGAGGATCAGCAGGTTGGCACATACGGTTGCCGATGGGAAAGACTTAACTTACAGTTCATTGTCTGAATGAAACCTACTAGAGTAAATTCAAGTTATGGATATGCTGAATTGATTAGAAGCCGGCATCATGAAGAAGAATATATCAGTACTACTCTGATGGTAGCCCTACAAGATTATCCACCCAAACTCTTCTGTACAGTTGCAAATAACCATATATTGAACTAAGCACTGATGATAGTATAACATTTCGTGTTCCATCAAACACACAAATCAAGCTCAGTTTACATGGTTCATCAATCACACACACTGACACAAACAAGAATTTTATTACAAACCACCCAGCTTAAATGTAATTGCAGGAACATAAGTAAATTAAAATTTAAGCTGATGTACACCATGTCATCAGTGCTTTGGTATCGATATACTGTCATGAGTGCATTGTTAATGGGACATTATGAAGTAAATCAAAATTAAAAGCTTAATTTGTGTTTGGCTGATGAAATATGAAATGATATACTTGAAAATAGAAGAGAGCGGCAACCGAGTTTCCGTGTCCGTTGGATCCACGCCGCTGAGACGCAGGCATCTCCTCTGGACTCTGGTGCAGAGGAATCAAGAGAGAAAGAGATGCCGGAGAAGCGGCGAGTGAACAGCTTCGTCGTTGGCACCATATTGTCCCAGAGCTCGAGTGGAGTCGTCGCTGATTGATCTGTAAGTCTTTGTTCTGTGGACTATGGTTAGCTAGGGTTATTGGAACTGTTGATTTGGCGCTGTATGTAAATATCATACAGTCTAGTGTGTAGTCTCCTTGTTAAAAGACAGAGAGGATGGATAGCAGCCGCCATGAACGTGAGGAGGCAAGCAGCATCTCCGTCCATCCATCACGTGGTCGGAAGGAGGAAGATTGTCTGTCCGGCCTGACGTCTGAAACAGACCTGAAGCCAGCGAAATATTCAGAGCTCAGAAAACAGAGCAAAAGCAGAGGAAGTGAAATGCAAGTATTCAGAGTTGAGAAATCAGAGCAAAGCAGGCAAACACAGTTGGCAGTCTTTTTTTTCTATTTTTTTTTCACTTTCTTTGTTTTCATTTTTTGGCTTTCTTTTTTAACTTTTGTTTGCACTTCCAAATACGTTCATGCCGCTAGAGACATATCTGTAAACGATTTGGGAACATACATGGACAATGCGGGGGTGATATCTATTCGTATGTGTATACTGCATTGTTGAGTAGAACTTGCATGTGTAGACACCAGCTCTCCACAAACAAAAACAAAAGGTGGCTGCGAATCAGGTAATTCATTCCAACCGCTGGACGACGGTATATATAGGAGCTACTGATCTTGGTCTACAGTTAGACAAGTTGTTGAAGGAAAAACACACTTCTGATTTCCATGCAAAGAAAAAGATACACTTTCTGAATTTCTAACCTTGAGCCAAGGAGTAAATTGTATGGCAGCCATCGTTGCCCACTCGTGCAGGCGCGCTAGTGTTCGGTCCAGTTCTCGTTCGTTGCTTTTGGGACGCGACTGTTCCATCGCTGTGCTCTCACCTGTACCCACGGTAACCTTGTCTTCAGCACCGTCATTGAGATCGTCCTTGTTGCTCTAGATGACGGCGCAGCCCATTGAAGGTTGGTAGATCGAG